TCCCGTCGCGATGTTTCTTTCACGACGCGACCATTTCTGAGGTGGGCCGTCAGGAAGGTCGACGGGGGTGGGAGGGGGGGCAGTTCTGTGGCAACTCATGGGAACAACCCATACCATCCTATTGACTCTTGCGAATCGACGCTGGTCGACGCTTAATCGACGCTAAATCGACGCTAACCGATGCCAGCCGACGGCAACCGACGCTAAGTTGGCGCAATTCCATCGATTACCTGACGCTGATCGACGCTAGTCGCATACAAGGCTCCTACGATTTGCCACCGAAGGCCAGGGATAGGCGGCGAGCGAGGGGGGAAGTGAAAAGGAGAAGGTATTCTAAGGGGGCGGCGGGACTTCTCAAAGACCTCGCGCCTTCTGAGAAATGCTCGTTGTCGTCGGGGAAGGCTTAGAGAACCTCTAGAGGCCTCATAGATGGGGTCCGAGTTAACTATATGGGGTGGAAAGATTGCGCCGTATCGCCAATGCATCGCCGATGCGGCTCCGTCGGGGAAGCAAACACGCCAGAAAATTAAACGTATAGCGCTGTTCCTTCTTCGAAAGAAGCCTTGTGTCTTCGGAGAAGGCTCAGCAAGCTTCTCAGACGGCCGGGGGACTTTCGAAGCTTCTGATAAGACGAGGTGGGGACTTATCCAGACCAATCGCCTGGGTACCAACGTCCTGATGCCCCATCGGGTGGTGGATATGGATAGACTGTACCACCCGGGGACCCGATTTTATACATACATACAGCAATATATATACACATTACATTCCATTACATTACATTACATTACTTTACATTACAATACATTACATTGCATTACATTACATTACATTACATTACATTACATGACATGGCATGGCATGGCATGGCATGACATTACATTACATTACGTACATACATATATATATATATATATATATATATATATATATATGTATGTGTATCCATATCCACCACAATACCGCTCCCACAGGCGGTGGTTATGGATAAATCCCCGCCTCGGAGAGAAGACCTCCTCCTTTCCACTTCCCCCTGGACTCGCCGCCGACGTCGGTCGGGCACGGCGTCAAGGGCGGCGTCGGTCCCGGAATCGGGTGCGGCGTCGGGAGCGGCTTCGGGCACGGCGTCGACGAAGGCGACGGAGGAGGAGGAGGAGGAGGAGGAGGACGAGGAGGAGGAGGAGGAGGAGGAGGAGGAGGAAGACCGTCGGGTGGGCTGTCAGAGGGGCCTCCGCCCAGAGTGGTGGTCGGGAGGGCGCGGGGGCTGTGGGGCAGGCCGTCGGGCGGGCTGCAGGGCGAGTCTTCGGGAGGGTCTTCGGCGGGAACGGGGGGGGGCTGGTCGGGAGGCGGACCGGGGAGGACGTCAAAAGCGGCACGTGGGGGCGGCGTCGGCCATGGGGGCGGAGGCAGCGTCGGGGGGGGCGTCGGACACGGCGTCAGTTACGACGACCGGTGCGTCGGGCAGGTCGCCAGCAAGGCTGTCGGGAGGGCCGTCGGGAGGGCCGTCGGTAGGGGTGTCGGGCGAGGCGTCAGGTCAGGCGGTCGGTTGAGCGTCAGTAGAGCTGCCGGGAAAGGCGTCAGGTACAGAGTCAGGTGAGCGACGATCAGAAACGGGTCTTACGCGAGATGACGTAGCGACCTTACGCGACGGCTTACGCAGGCCGCCAGCGCGGCACGCCACACTGGAGACGAAGGCGCTTACGCGCGACCTTACGCGAGCAGCTTACGCGCGAATGTCGGCGCAGACGACCCCGTGTTCTTTCGTCGCTCAGATGGGGAGTCAGGACGGGGGCTTGCTTGCGCCATTGTCTTATCAAGTGCATGATCCGCAGCTCGTATCGGGCTCCAGCTTCGCCTGCCACATCGACCAGAGTTCGTCGGCTTCGCATCCGCTGATGCATGAATCGTAGCTGATCGGCTGGTCGTCTCGGGCTGCGTCGTTACTGCTCCTCCTGCTGCAGCTCTTCATATTCTTGCTCGTCATCCTCCGCCTCGTCATCATCAGCATCATCAATATCATAAGCATCATCGGCATCACCCCTCCCCCCAACCCTATCATCATCCGCATCCTCATCATGTCTGCCCACACCGTCACCATCACCACCACCACTTCCGCCGTCATCACAACCACCACCACCACCACCACCACCAGTCCCCCCTCTTCGAGCAGGAAGGACGGAGAAGAGGAGGATCGGGAGCGGCCAAGAGGGGGGTGTCCAAGAGGGGGGGGTGCAAATCATGACCGGCGGCACGTGCGCGGCCCAGCGGGGGGGCCAGGGACGTAATGAAATGAGAAGAGGCGCCATGAAGTCTGGGGAAATATCATGGCCCGCGCCATGATATCCACCCCCTCCCTAGTCATCACCCCCTCTTTTCCGCTCCCGAGAGGGAGGGAGATAGATAAGAGCTGTCCAAAACGGCCCGGTGCAAAGCGGAGGGAGGACGGCGCCGCCGGCCGAGCCGGGGACGCGTGCTGCGTCGGCACGGCGGCCGCCGCCATGTCGACGCGGCGGCGGCGGCGGCCGCGGGGACGCTCGGCCCGGTGCGCTGGCGAGGCACAGCTCTGGCTCGGCTCGGGCAGCGTGCGCCGGCGCGGCCGCAGCTGGGGGCACGGCTGGGGAAGGCTCTCGGGAAGGGCTCGGGCGGCGCCAGCTATGAACGCCTGCGCCGGGCCTGGCCAGGCCAAGCCCGCTACCAAGGTCGGTGTGCGTGGCCTGCTGGCCAGGCCAGGAGGGCGCATGCGCCGATGCAGGGGGCCGTCCAAGAGGGGGACGTCCAAGAGGGGGGTTCGCAGGTCATGGCCCGAGGCATGTGCGCGGACGAGGGGGGGGGGGTCAGGAGACGTGACGAGATGAGAAGAGGGGCCATGAGACCTGGTGAGATCTCATGGCGCCCGCCGAGAATCCACCAACCCTGGTCATCGCCCCCTTCATACTCGTAGTCTTACTCTTGTTCGTCTTTTTCGTGTTACTATTTCCCTGGTCATCACCCCCCTTTCGGACGACCCCGAGCACACACAAATGCTGGGTCCCAACGGGCATGACCCGGATCGGTGGTGTCCCGCTGTGTCCCTCCGCGGGCGGCGCGGCTGCGGGTGCGAAAACCCGCTGCTCTGACGAGGCATGGCCCTGGTCTGGGGTCGAAGACGGGACGGGGGACGACGGACAAGATTAGACAAAACCAAAACGAGGACAGGATCGGAAGAGGATAGAAATTGAGAGTATCTGAAATCCCGCGGCTCTGCAGGATGCCCCGGGCGCCGAACCCTTCTCGGAGCGCTCCGGAACGCTCTGGGAGCGTTCTAGAACGATCTGGAACAGATTCTTCCTCGTCCGAGCCCCGCCCAAGAAAACCCTGCTCAGCGACCAACCCGAGGAGGAGGAGGAGGAGGAGGAGGAGGAGGAGGCGAAGGAAGAAAAAGAGGAGCTGGACGAGCTGTAGGAACGAAATCGAATCGCCTGGGATCACCAAAGCGGCGATATACAGCGCCGCTACACACCGCCGTGAACGGTGGCCGAGGAGGAGGAGGAAGAGGAATAGGAGGAGGACTGGAGAGGAGGAGGATGCGGTAGAGAAGGAAGAGGAGGAGGCGGAAGAGGAGGGAGACAAAAAGGATGAGGAAAGGAGGAGGAGACAAAAAAGGATGAGGAGAGGAGGTGGAGCAGGAGGAGGACTGGCGAGGACGAGGAGGAGGAGGAGGACTGGAGAGATGGTCGCGAAGGAAAGAGGGGAGCAGACAAAGATGAGAAGGGAACGCAGAGGAGGGAAAGGGGAGCAGCGGCGAGAGGAGAACGAGGAGGAAGCACAAAAGCGTACCATGCCGAATAACACCGTCGAGGATGGCGGATAAGAGCAGGAGGAGGAGGACGACGACCGTAATGAAACCAACACATTTTTTGGTCTGCGGGTCGGGAACGGGCTCCTTCCGGTCAAGAGCTAAACGGGACGCGAGTAGCCCTAATTGGGGAGACGCGGCGCGGGCGGGCGGGGCCTCAGGCGGCCAGACGGCTCAGAAAACAGGCGTCGCCGAAGATCTTGCACAGGACAAGGTACGCCATGGACTGGAGCAGGGGGCGCGGTCCCAGGGGGTGGGTGGGTTGGTGTTGCCGTCATCGGCGCGCCAAAAACACCATCCTCGAGTGCTGCGTGAGGAGGGCCGTGAGCAAGTCAACGTCCGCGAGGTAGAGGAAGACCAGGAGGGCGAAGTGCACCAGGTGCCACCGACTGATAAGTAGTGTACCCAACACACACACACACACACTCCGCTGATGCTGCAATACACTCTTCCGCCCGAAGTCCACTCATCAGGGATCAGTACAGGCATGTCCGTCGACTGCGGCGAGCTCCGTGCTCCATCCTCATCGTGCCTCCTCCTCTTTTCCTCTCCTCCCCAGCTCCACGAGAAAGAGAGAGAGAGAGAGACCGTACGATCGGAGCCTGGAGGAGGAGGAAGAGGAGTAGGAGGAAAAGGAGGGGGAGGAGGAGGAGGAGGAGGAGGAGGAGGAGGAGGAGGAGGAGGAGGAGGAGGAGGAGGCCGCGCGCCCGACTCTTGCTGGTGGTCAGTACCGAAGCCACAGTGGGACCGCAAGGGAAAGCACCCGCGGCACGCGGCCCCACGCCACAACGACGAGCGGCGCGACTGCAGGAGAGGGACCGCAGGGAAGAGCCCCACGGCCTCGCGGCGGACGGGGGAGGCCGCGACGGTGAGGGCCGCAGCTCGGGACGCCGCCGCGGTGAGGGCGGCAGCAGCGGCGCTCCAGGGAGACCGCGCGGCGCCCGAAGGCCAGCCCGGCGCCGGCGGCCAAGGCGGGTGGTTCGAGTCGGGGATCGACTGCAGAATTGAGCTGCCCCCCCCCCCAAAAAAAAAACAGAATTGAGCTGGCCCAAACTGGATGTTTCCGTAGAGTCTACGAAACATACGCAGACTGATCCGTAGATCTAGCGAGCGCTTTCGTATTCGGTGTTTCGACATTGCGCGGAAGAGGGAGGGGAGGGGAGGGGTCTGGCATCTGACCTCTGCTTACTGCGACTGTTTGTCACAGTGCGTTTTATGACGGGACTCCATATGCTCGAAACAGGCGCCCCCCAAAACAGCCAAGATCTACTCCAGGGAAGGGGGAGAGGTGGCGCGAGGGCCCGCGCCGATCGGCAAAATAATGAATAAGACAAACGATCACCATCTCACGTGTTGGTTTCGCAGATTTGCCGACAAAAACGATTCAGAGGTCCGTGGGTGGGGTGGGGTGCGGGGGAGGAGGAGGGAGGAGGGAGGAGGGAGGAGGGGGAGGGAGGAGGGAGGTGGAGGAGGGGAGGTGGGAGGAGGGAGGTGCGAGGAGGAGGAGGAGGAGGGAGGAGGAGGAGGAGGAGGAGGAGGAGGAGGAGAAGGAGGAGGAGGAGGAGGAGGAGGAGGAGGAGGCGGAGGAGGAGGAGGAGGGAGGGAGGAGGGAGGGAGGGAGGGAGGGAGGGAGGGAGGGAGGGAGGGAGGGAGGGAGGAGGAGGAGGGAGGAGGGAGGCTGGAAGAGGGAGGGGAGGTGGGAGGAGGGAGGTGGGAGGAGGGAGGTGCGAGGGAGGAGGAGGAGGAGGAGGAGGAGGGAGGAGGAGGAGGAGGAGGAGGAGGAGGAGGAGAAGGAGGAGGAGGAGGGGAGGGGAGGGAGGGAGGGAGGGAGGGCGGGAGGAGGGAGAAGGGAGGAGGGAGGCTGGAAGAGGGAGGAGGGAAGAGGGTGAAGGGAGTAGGAGGAGGAGGCGGGAGGAGGAGGGCGGAGGAGGCGGAGGAGGAGGAGGATGAGGAGGAGGAGGAGGAGGAGGAGGAGGTTAGGAGGAGGAGGAGAGAGGAAGAGGAGGAGGAGGAGGAGGAGGGGGGGGCACCTCAACGCTGCAGACGGCCCCCGCTCTCGAGGTGGTGGGGGCGCGCTCGGAGCGAGCGCTGCGGGCTAGAGCACCCGCGGCCGAGCGCGGCAAGGGGCCCGACGGTGGGGAAGCGGAAGAGGCAGCCGATGGTGGGGAAACCGAACAGGAATTTTGGTAGTGGACATAACTGGCCTCCTCCTCCTCCTCCCTCCTCTCCTCCTCCTCATCCTCCCCTCCTCCTCCTCTCCTCATCTCCTCCTAACCTCCTCCGCCTCCTCCTCCGCCTCATCCCTCCTCCTCCTCCTGCTCCTCCTCCTCCTCCTCCTCCTCCTCCTGCTCCTCCTTCTCCTTCCTCCTCCTCCTTCTCCTCCTTTGCATCCTCCTCCTCCTCCTCCTCCTCCTCCTCTGCATCCTCCTCCTCCTCCTCCTCGTCCTTATCCTAAAAGGGTACGCATCCTTGCAAATTCGACATACTTGGTGTTCTTAATGTTTGGTCTTGATAGAATATCTGCGTGGCGGCGCCCCTACCGACACGCATGCCATCTGCTGCCGATGAGTTCAAACATACCGTCGCTACGCACACCCTCTGCGCGCTGACTGGCGTCGCAACGCGCGCCCTCCCCGTTGCTGCGACCAAAAAAAACAACAACAACACGTGAGTTCACCATCAAAGTACCGATGCCACTGCTCCCCGAACCTCTCCCGGGGTGCGTTGTGACCAGAATCTCGAGACACATCCAGCGCTGGCGACGAAGGCCTCCCAAGAGGCCCACAAAGCGGAGCACGGGGCACGGGCAGCGGCATGGGTGCCTTTTCCTGCCCAGAGGCACGGGCAGCAGCAGCAGCAGCAGCAGCAGCAGCAGCAGCAGAAGCAGCAGCACCGACGCACAGGTGCGAAGGCCACGCACAGGGAACAGCCACGGAGGCGTTGGCGACCGAGGGGGGGAAGTGAGCAGGAGAAGGCCTTCTCTCGGTGGCTCAAACATGGGGTCCTGAGGCACGGGTTCCTAAGGACGAGGCGCCTCAAACAACGCAAATCCACCCTTGGACCCCATCCCTCAGGACCCCATCCTCGAACCATCGATTCTCAGAGGGCGGCGGGGCTTCTCAGGGCGCCGCCCGCGTTGCACTGCGACGTCGCCGTCGCGCGGCACAACTGCGCATCCTACGACTCCTTGGCCCCCATGGCGGCGCGGACGCTCGCCACCTCCGCCACGTTCAGCCTCCGCGGGCCAGCGAGCTCTCGGCGAGGCCATGGCCGCTGGCCATGAACTGGGCATAGGCCGGAGAGCCGATGGCCCCGCGCCCGCGAGGGCGCCGCTCGAGCCCGCAGGGCCGCTCGGCACGCCTCCCGCGCGGCCGAGGTGCGTCGGACGGCCGGCGGGCCGCGTGCGGCGGGCAGCGGGCGGCTGCGGGCCTGCAAGCTCGCAGGTCGGGAGGGGGGCCCGGCGGCGCAGGAGGCGATGCTGCGCGGCGGGGCACCCAGGCCGGCGGGCAGTCGGCGCATGACCCCGAGCCCAAGTCGGCCCGGCGACTTCAACGGCAGGAGAGGGTCGGACGGCGCTGCATCCAGGCCCACCCGCTCCGATCCTTGCGGCCCCCGTGGCCGCTGGCAAAGCCTGGCGCCACGGCGCTCGCAAATCCGCCCACTCC